TCCATACAAATTCTTCTCGCTAAACGGGCACCTGGAGGAGATTAGGTTAGTATCCAATTCGGTAAAGGAAAACTATGATTTAGAGACACATTCCGTGGTAAGCGAATGGAGACTGCTAATCATCATGTTTTCCCTTACTGACGCATCTCCCTCTTTGACGCCGTTCTTAAAAACGAACTGTACACTCTCCTTCGTGAATCCTGGTCCCTGATATATTATGTGAGGTTAATCGGTCCGCACCTGTCGTAGCGCGCCACTTTCTCTGGTCAAAGGTGCACGGAAACAAGGCTGGAGGGTAATAATACTCGGTTGCCGTCTGCATACTTCGCCAGCTCTACCGCACGTCCAGCCCCCCCCCCCCCTAGGGAAACACGCTACCTGTCTGCGCCCCCTCACTTCTAATTGTCCTCTACCTCAAAGGAGGAGTCTCCCAGACGTGCTGGCGAATCTATACCTCCCTCCCCCCCCCACGTCTACCACTAACTATTTGCATCTCCTGGCTAACCAATCACTTCTAGCACCATCAATTATTCGATTCCATTCATCATTGAAAGAGAACGAAAAGTTAGAGAAGAAACAAAGCTTGCAGCATCAAAGAGCTTCCGAAAACTTCTGGAAAGTTGGGAGTACGGTAACCAGAAGGACTACTGCAACATTGCAGTGACAGCACATCCTGCTTTTGGGGAAGTTTTGCGAAGTGCGATCACCCCCCCCCCCAACACCTTCGATACTTCCTCATGTGCTACGAACCCTCTTACTCATCCCCTTTCACTCAAAACCTCTCTTTATTCTCCCAACTTTCCATCATTTTTCAGCAAAAAAAACCGTCGAGTAGGTAGGGTAGGCGAGGAGGTCAGCCCGCACTTGAAACAGCGAAACACGAGTAACAGTAAAACAACTGGAAAAGCACTTTCTACACACAGGGCCAATACGGACCTCCCCCCGCCCCCCCTCCCCTCCCGTCCACATAAGGAATACGATCCTCCTCCTCCCTCCTCCTCCTCCCCCCCCCCCGTCCAAATCGCTGAAGAAATCCCGACAGGCCCCTAAAGCAGCAGCATCACTGGCGGGTTATGGATTAAAGGAACGCCAAAACCCACCTTACCTTGTGCTTCTTCAACTGCATGCGCTTCTTCTAATGAAAACTATCCAAGGAAAGTCATACTACTTTCAAGGAAAGCAAAGTTACTCTTGAGCGCTATCAGCAAAAGTCAACACGCCTGCAACTCTACGAAGAGCACTCTAATCGTTCTATAACGCTGCAGGCAACAAAAGGCGGTAATTCGCCATGTAGATCGTCATCGTATAGGCAATAATGGCCTGACTAGACCCGAGAAAAACTGATGTACCCTATTCCTGGCGCCTCTACCTCACTCATTCTAGTGGCAAAAGTGGTACAGTTTCAACGACTCCGGAGCTGGTTACCCATCACGCGGTATCGCTGCACGTATGGTTTCAGGAAATCAATCGCTTCTTCTTTTTTTCTTCCTCCTTCCTTCCTAACTTTTCCCGCTCAAAAGTTGCGATTAAGAAATGTCTCTGAATTCTCATAGCGAGATCACATGATGTGTCTTCAACAGAAGGGTGCACTCGTGAGGAGGGGGGATGGTTATGAGTCTCCGCCCTCCACTCATCGCGGAATGTGTCTTTGAGCATTATTGCCCGGAATCAAGGATATTTTCCCTAAGGCTTGTTTGGAGGGAAATCCGACCAGGCTTCCGCATGAGTAACCCGTTGGCGTTTCTCTTCATAATGACGGTATTCCCTAGTTGACAAGTTGAGTGCTTAACTTAAATCAAACTGAGTAAAAGAAGGCATATGAGTACAAGAGCAACAGAAGCTACGTACCTTGTAATAAAGATGCTCGATTCGAGTCATATACACCTTACAAACTTCGTCCACGTCGAAGATATCTTCATGAATACGCTCCTGTACGTACTTCTCAGTTCGCTCGATTAATGTGCACATGTCCTTTTCACCCTTCAGTCTAAAGAACACTAATAAAATATGCACAATAATAAAGTAAAAATAGTAATTACACATCTGAAGCTGTGGGAAAAACCATAAAAAGCTTTGAGTAAGTATGTGCAGACCGCTGCGAATTCATGGCAGAAAAAAAACAAACTTTTCAATATAATCGTTCGAGTGACAATCTGCGTTCTGAAGAATTTTCGTCAGTTCACTGTCTAAACGTTGAACCGTCATCAACAGCGATCCCTGGATCTTGTATGGCATGGAATCATCCTGAAACAAATGATAAGAATTAGAAGTAACGTCGAACTTCAAACCTAGTACCTTCAAGTTCTCCTCTTCCTCGGTGTATTTGACGGAAAGCTTGACTTCTGGATGCTCTATCAAAATATCGAGTAGTTCTGTGACAGCAAGAAGCGTCCTTAATCATGAGCATGTAAATTGCATTTCGCTATG